GTGCAGCAATCATACTGGGCATGTCGTCAAGCTGGACCTCCAGAATCCGCATCCTTTCTCGGATTTTGGTGACGAGCCATACAACAACTGGACCTTAGGAGGTGAGTTGAGGCCTTCTTTACTTGGTCTGAAACACCTGAAGTACCTGGACCTAAGCATGAACGATTTTGGAGGCATTAATATTCCAGAATTCATGGGGTCATTCCATCAACTCCAATATCTTAACCTCTCCAGAGCTGGATTGGGTGGACTCCTGCCTCACCAGCTGGGAAATCTCTCCAATCTGCAGTATCTAGACTTATCCAATGACTTGGATCCCAATTTTGTGGTTCCGGTCCGTGAATTTAGCATTGGTGATGCACTCTGGATTTCTCACCTTTCTTCTCTAAAGCATCTCAACCTGAAGAGTGTTAACTTTCAAAATGGTACGCACTGGCTGGAAGCTCTGAACATGCTTCCTTCTATTCTGGAGATATACTTATCTCTCTGCGAAATTGGAAGTGTTCCCCACTCTCTTCCGCATGTGAACTTTACATCACTGTCTGTTCTTGATTTGTCCTATAATTTCATTAGCTCTACGATACCCTCTTGGTTATTCAACATAAGTGGCCTTGAGCATCTTGATCTTAGTTCGAACAACCTTCAGGGTAATATTCCACCGACCTTTGGTAACTTGGCTTCCCTCGAGGAACTTAATTTAGCTAACAATCCTCTTCAAGGAGGAATACCAACTTCCTTCAAAAATCTGTGCAAGTTGCAGAATTTAATATTGGCAGGCATCAATATCAGCAAAGATTTGTTAGGCCTTGATGAAAGTTTTTCTGGTTGCGTCAAGATGAGCCTAGAGGTTCTAGGCTTATCCGGCACGAATATTAGTGGGCAGTTGCCTGAATGGTTATTCCAATTCAGGAAGCTTAAATCACTCCAGTTGAAGCAGAATCTGATTTCTGGGCCTATTCCTGTATCAATTGGACAACTAGCATCACTCCAAGAGCTCTTTCTTGGTCAAAATCAATTGAACGAAACAATACCAGAAAGCGTGGGGTGGCTGTCTCAGCTTGTTTCTTTGGACCTTGAGCACAACAATTTGGAGGGTGTAATGTCTGAGGCGCATTTTGGAAACCTCACAGAATTGAAAGACTTGTATTTGTCGTCCAACCCCTTGGCTCTAAAGGTCAAGAGCAATTGGCTTCCTCCCTTCCAGCTTGAATCCCTTCGGATGGACTCTTGCAAACAGGGTCCTGAGTTCCCTGCATGGCTCCAGTCGCAAAAAAATATTTCAGAAATTGTTATGTCTAATGCTAGTATTATTGATGCTATGCCAGACTGGTTTTGGAGCTTAATTTCCACAGCAGAGTACGTGAGTTTCTCCGGCAATCAGATCAGTGGCCACGTACCAAATTTATTGCATTTAAACAACCTCATCGAGTTGGATTTAAGTTCAAACTACTTGGAGGGTCCTCTTCCATATTTTCCTCCTAGATTGGAAGCATTAGATCTATCAAACAATTCATTTTCAGGAACAATTTCACTTGCCATCATCATGAATATGCTAAACCTCATGTATTTATCATTTTCAGAAAACAATTTAAGTGGTGAAATTCCCTTCTCTATATGCAAACTGTCGGTCTTACAGTTTCTTGATCTTTCAAAAAATATGTTATCAGGAGAGCTCCCCAGTTGCTGGAATGATTCTTCCCCAATTGAATTTATAGATTTTTCAAGCAACAACATATCTGGAGTTATTCCTGAGTCAATATGTTCCATAGCATCGCTTCAGTCGTTGCACTTGAGCAATAACAGTCTATCTGGAGAGCTGCCTTTGCCCTTGAAGGACTGTGGGAAATTATACCTTCTTGATGCCGGATATAATAATTTGAAAGGTGAAATTCCAACCTGGATAGGTGAAAGTTTAACTAGTCTGAGGTTCCTCAATCTGCGATCAAATATGTTGGTCGGAGATATTCCTCCAAATCTTTCAAGATTGAGTGCTCTCCAATTTCTCGACCTTGCGGGTAATGAGCTATCGGGTACTATTCCAAGGAGCTTTGGAAATTTTACTGCCATGAAAGTAATTGAAAATTTTTCAAGTTCGACGACAGATCAAATTAGATATAAGGAGCATATGTTTATTACAACTAAAGGAGACACTCAAGACTATGGGAAGTCACTTTCGCTTATGAATATTTTGGACCTCTCGGATAATAACTTATTCGGAGGAGTACCTAAAGAAGTCACAAGTCTTTTTGGCTTATTCAGCTTAAATTTATCTGGAAACCATTTCACAGGAGAAATCACTGAAAGTATCAGTAAATTACAACAATTGGAGTCCCTTGACTTGTCAAGAAACAACTTTTCTGGCACAATTCCTTCTAGCCTCGCTGCCTTGACTTATTTGGCTCACTTGAACCTGTCATACAACAACTTGTCAGGGGAAATTCCTCTTGGTAATCAACTTCTGACTTTCAATGATCCATCGATCTATATTGGCAATCCTGATCTTTGTGGGTTTCCTCTGAATCAAAGTTGCAAAGATAGTGAGACAGCACAAAGTCAAAGTAATACAGATGATAGAGATGAGAATGAGATGATATGGTTCTACACGAGCATGGCACCAGGATTTGTTGTTGGTTTCTGGGCAGTCTGGGGTACCTTAATACTTAACAAGAATTGGAACCTTTACTATTTCCGATTTATAGACAACATGCTTGACAAAGTATATGTGTTTATCGTACTGAAAGTTTCTAGGATCAGAAAACGTTGTTGTTCCCAACAAGGATGATAAATTTGAACATCAATATCTGCTGTATGAGAGTTCATCTCGTTAATATCATATCATCAGCTTGAATAAATTTTAATACTTCTGGACTTCTATACAAGTAAGTCATGCACTCTCAATTTTGATCATTTCTGTCTAGATAGCAGTACCATATGAAGTGTTCTAATCTTGGGGGATTGCCAGAAAGCTTGCACCTTTTAATTAGTTTTTCCAAAATAGACACCCCTTTTTTAGTTGTTCAGTTTGGCAGAAATGAAAGGAGGTTAAAACTTTTACGAAGATATACATAGAATTTATGGTTTTATTTTCCTTCTTTCTTTTTCATCCTCTATTTTCCCAAGTTCATAGTATCTACTTTCATCAAATGCATTTGCATGTCTTGTTCTACCCAAGCATTACACGCTCAAAACTTATTCGATTGCGATCACAAGTTCGGCTGCAAAAGATTTGACCACCTTATTCGATTAGTTTAACTCTTATTGAACTTATGCACAGGTGTTTCTACCATACGCTACTCTTGTTTATGTAAATCCAGTGTCAGTATATCTAGAATCAGATTTCATTTTACATTACTAAATTTTTCTAGAGATCAAGGTTTAAATGATCATTAACCCTCCCTAGAGTCCACATTGGTGAGAGCCTCTCAAGCAAAGGTACGTCTTCTTCTAAATCTCTTCAAATATTAAATTTATCTCACATAAAAGAGATTTTATATATTAATGCAGTCTGAATTTTGATATAGAATAACTTGTCATCACTGTCAAGATAACGCGAATTCTGCCCTACAAAGACAGCCTGAGTTAGAGCAGGAGTAGCTTGGATCTGAATTGCATGTACACTGGAATTGCTTGTGATGGTTTCGTATGTGCTCTCTAACCTTCAAAGTTATGGTGCTCTCAAAGAGCAAATAAGGTTCATACACAAGAGACTTGTTGTATTTGAGATGTTACTTGTGCTTCATGCTTTGAGTCTTACTGTAAGTTTGTATCCTCCAAACTGTACACTGCTAGAACTATCCGACCGAAGAAGCCATGGATGCATCTGCAGTTGCAACAGATGGAGCTGTTTAATATGATCTACTCATGTAATGATCCTCTTGTGTTTGAGATGCTTGTCTTCATCAATCAAATACAAATTGGTTGCATCATAAGCTCAAGTCCACCAAATGTGCAGCTGCATGATCTTCTTGGATCTCATGCTCAGATCTTTTCAGTTGATGAGTCTCCCATTAATGGGGGACATGCTGGTGCAGCTCATGGAATTGGGCCGAAGAGGCTTTCGCATGCAGGAATAATCCATTTATGATCAACAGAGTGTGGCCCCTCTCCGAGCCGCTCACATTGAAGTTTGCCATGGATTCTGTGTCATGACTCGGGATGTATACGAGCTTCATTTGATTACCTGTTGCCATTAGCACTCAAATGTAAGCAAAGTTCATAAGAATGTAATTCTTGGTTCAAACTGTTTTGTGGACGCAAAACAAAGAAGAGGTGTTACATCAACATTTTCTTATGGATCTAATTATCACCCTCCATAAATAAGAGTGATTAAGATCAGGAGTGAATCGAGATTAATAATTTTTCTAGTATCCAATAAATACAAAATTATGTATTTTGATTTAATTATAGACATTATCTTGTACAAAACTCGAGAATTGATTTTAAATAATTGTTATTATTTTTATAAATAAAAATATCTATTGCTCAAAGATAATGTGTTATTTATAGAAAGGTTAGTTTGACTAGAAATCCCACCACGAGAGATTTCTTGAAATATATTAAAAATTAATTATTTTGATCATCTTGGCTAAACAAAAAAATGTTGGTAAAAGGAAAACTTAGGTACTAAGACATCAAGTTGGTATCATCAGCAAGATTTGTATAAATTAGAGAGTCCAATACACAATCAAAACTGGAAATTTAAACTTTAGAATTACAATCCGTATTGTTATATTTCACATATATGTTATTCCCAATTTATCAAAGGACCATTCATATTTAGATCAGGATCGATGCCCTTCAATTATAATTGTAATTGTAATTAGATCTATCTATTCCTTACCACCTAGCTCCGATTAACATTTTATTTTGGGTCATGATTCGAGGAGCACGTAACAAAAGACATTCACAAGCTTCGAAACATCAATTACTCTCATGTTTGTTCTTGAATTCTACAACTAGAAATCTGATCGTAATAAATTTTAAGTGCCAAAAGGAGACGTTTAAAGATAAGAGAATGAATATTATTATTTATCTTTTTTTAAATATATTGAAAACTAATTATTTTGACCATAGAGTTGGTATTATCAACAAAATTTGTATAAATTAGAAAGTCTTGTACACAATAAATTTAAAAATAATTTCAAGGAACAAGATTTGAGTAGCCTTTGTGGATTTGAGTAGAAGGTATAGATTTATTATTTATGGAAATAGAACTTATTGGTGAAATCGATAGGAAATATACTCATTGGCCTTATAGAGAATCAAAAGATTTTTTTAAAAAAACTAAAAAACATAAGTGGTCAACTAATTAGTTTCATAATTTTCTTTCCGTGTGTTGTTCTATGATTTGTTATTATTATTGTTATAGATGAGAAGGTATGATATAAGAAGACTATAAATATGGTTTAATTGTTAATAATTCATAAATACTAGGTTGTATCTAATACTATTTCTTATTTATACATGTCAACGGCTCATATTAATTTTTTCTGTATCGTTCTAATTTTATTAGATGTTTCTGAGTTATACTGGATTTTGACGAAGATATTAAGTGAAAGAGTTGGTAATATCCTGATTTATCTTACGGATATGAGTAAGATTGACTTATAAAGATATGATTGACTTGCTATTATTAATTCAAACTTAAACACTTTAATCAATGATTTGAGTTTTAATAGCTTATTAGTTTGTTAAGAGTATCGACACGGAGATACATGATTAATCTAGTCTCACACAATGATAGAGTGATGCATAGTTAATCCCTTTATGCAAGATTTACTTTTTTAACATGAGATGATCATTGTTTTCTTTGTTTTTCATGAGTAAAGTTAGCAAGTTCTCGAAGATAAAGAAAAAAAAAATTGACGAGAGGAACAGTAGCAACAGATTCTGATCACAACCTAAGATTCAAAGATGATGCAACCTTGCTGTTGCAATAGTAGATGAGACACTTGCTTTTGTTCGCAATCGTCAGTCTTCCTTGGTCTTTCTATTGAAAAGTACAAGGAAACAACTTGGCTCTGTTAGCTGGGATTTAAGGTCTTCCTTCCTCTTGTTCAGTTGCATTATCATGTCAATTTCCAGGAGAGTTTCCCAGCGACTGCTGATCGCTGTCTTTTTGGTGACCACAAATCTTGTCTTTCTTTTATTCGTGTTAATAATGGTTGTCTGATAGCTACAAATTTCTCCTATTTAGCAGTTCTCAGGAAATTCTCAAAACCTTCACATTCAAGAAGATGCTGGAGTCTTTAGATGAAAGCTATTCCAACTTTGGGACTCGTCAAAATCAGAAGTCATAGTTGACTGACTTGGGGATAGACAACAATATGAAATGAAGAACAAGTGCATGATATTGGCAGACAGCCTAATAGTTGAAGATTTCTTGGTCTACTCTTTGAATCCGTCAGTTGAATAGTTTCAGACTAATGGAGGATGATCCAAACAGGGCATGATAAGATTTTGTGTATTGCAAGCTGTCTACCGCAGATTTCTCATGATTAATCTTAAGATAAGCTGCGTATTTTTATTATATGTAATCTAAGATAATTGTGTTGGTGTGAGATGATCCACTGTGATCATGTATACAATTTTCCTCACAATTGATGGAATCGTGGTCATTGGTAATAATTATTTTCAGGTGTATTAAAAGGACAAATCGATCTGTTCTGTGAAATTTCTTGCCAGTTTCTATGCACTACCGGTGCCAGAAATATGAAAATCTAATTAAATACCTTGACGAATTAAGCTGCCATTATTGTTGTTTTTCAAGTTTCTTGGACTCATTTTAGACATTACAAGTGTATGACAATGGATTTGCTCAGTAGAACATCATGGACACCTTCTATCATTGTCAACCTAGAAAATGG